GAATTAATATGGATGATAACCAACCACGAAAATAAGTCTCGAACCTGAAATCAAATCATAGAATAAAACACAAACAATAGGCTAAATCCAACTGCAAGGGATTGGAAGTCACGAACCAGTGGAATCACTCCAAAGATCCGATTTGACATATCTAAAGGGGAGGAAATCACATCCTATCACTAGACAAATATTGAGAGGGAACAATAAAGAAATTTTATTTAAGATTGACTATATTCTATTACAATGATAGGCAAGGACCTTATATAGAGGCCCTTAAGAAAAAATAAAATGCAACAAATAATAAATGAAACAAACCAAAATGTTAGCCTAACTATAATGAAACAAATAATAAGGAAAGTTCTAAATATAAAATTATACTATATAGAAACTTATAGTAAAAGGTAGTATATAATAGGGTAACTTTGAGATTCTTCCATATTCTGTTGTCTTAGTCTTGAAGTCCCGGTTCTTGTGATCTTGGCCTTGGGATGACTCGGCTGGGTGACCTTTGAGTTGGATACAAATGAATTTTAATGTCTATCACAATCATCTTCAATAATCATTTTTCGGAGCTTGGACGGCCGTGTCAGTACCCAATGTTGATTTAGCCAGAGAAGTCTTACAATGTATACATTGAAATTTTGTATTTCCATCATCCAAAGCTACTTCAATAAAATCTGTATAAGCTTTTGAACATTTTTTTCTCTTTTTCTTTTCAAAATAATATTTCTTTTCCTCGCCACAATTTTCTTTATCACTTTTTCGATCATGTTCCTTTTCATTATCATTCTCTTCGTTAGTATTTATATTTTCTACTTGTCTGGCTCCATCACTGTCATTCAATGAAAAATCACCTCCACAAAAATCATTCCCCTTCTTTCGAATACTATCTTCTCGAATGACTAATTCTATTTTATTTGAATTCTCCATAATCCTGCAATATAAATTTAAATGCTTAGATAATATAGAATTTTGTTGTAAAAATAGAAAATATACAAATAAGTAAAAAAAATGCAAAATAACATAATAAAAAATAATTAAGTAAAAAAAATAAAAAAAAATACCAACCTAAAAACCGGTGGGAAAGTTGTTGATAAATTATTGGAAAACGGAATGATTTAGTTTAATATTCTGTTGAAAAAAAAAAGAAAAATACACATTAATAAAAATTTTAAAGATAAAAAATTTTTATAATCAATTTGTTTTTTCGAGACTTTGATTAATATAACATAGGAAGTTCTTTTATCCATATCGAATTCAAATTGGAAAAAAAAAAAAATAACAACCTAAAAGCTAAGATAATGAAAAAATATGATTTTTATGAACTAAATAAAAATAGGAAGTTATACTCTGAAATAAATAAAGAAAAATACAGATTAATAAAAAATACTACAAAATAAAAACACTACCAAATAAAAAAAAATAACAAAAATAACAAAAAACGAAAAAGAAAAATAATGATTTTACTAGTCACTAAAATAAAAAAAAAATATGTCAATGAAATAATCAAAAATAGAAAAATAATTACCGTCAATATAAGAGAGCAAACAAATAGCAACCACATTGTTGAAAAATCAAAGAGAATGTAGGAAAACAAAACGGGAGAATATAGGAACGATATGACATATTTGACAAATTAAAGTTTTTTATGGTTTGCAAGTAAAATTGGTTGACCGCAGTTACATATTTTGAATTTATTATTTTTAAAAATTATATTATATATTTATTTGTGTAGAATTTAAATTGTAATATTAAATATATTTAATTAAATATATATTACTTTACAATATATATGGAATTATTTATGTTAATATATTATTTTTATTCATATTAGTTATACATTTTTTTTAAAAAAATAATATTATAAATAATATTTTTTTATTTAATAATTAAAATAAAAATATTTAATATGTATAATATATATAGTTGAAAATATATAGTATTATTTATGATCGAATAATACTAAAAAAAAAATTTTTTCAAAAAGATTAATCTAAAATAATAATACTAAATATATATATATAATATACATAATTGAAAATATATATTATATATTATCGAATCGAATATTTACGAATATCGAATCGAATATTAAAAAATTTATATTTTTTTATTTGACTAATATTCGAAACAAATCGAATATTTATAGTTGAATCGTAAATTTTCGCATACGAATATCAAATCATATTTTTTCTAACAATTTTAATAGTAATTTTTTTATATAATACTCTATTTTTAAAATTTTTTTTTTACATATTTAACACTTATATTCTTATTATAGGTAAATTTATAATTTTTTTAATCTAATGTTTTATTTATTGTTTGAAATTTGTTGTATTAAATTAATGTAGGAACAAAATATATTCTTTGTCCGAATTTGATATTTGTGTAAGTTTTATATAAAATAAATTTAAAACATTTTAAATAATTATATTTGAATAATATAAATAAATAAATAATTGATTGATTCTTATTTTATAATTTTTATAAAAATTAGATACTAATTCATTTCAAATAAATATTAAAGGAATGATTGATAAATTATTTATTTTATTTAAATATACTATTTAAAATATTTTATAATTTTTATTTATATAAAATTTGTATAATTAAATACTCCATCGTCTCTTTAATAAAGAATCAATTTACTTTTTGCGCCCTTAAAAATATTTTTATATTTTACACAAATATCATTGCATTGCATTTGAATTATACAATACTAATAGAAATATTTTTATTTTCTTCTTTTAATTTGTATTACATACGAATATAATATTAGTATTCAAAGTTAAAAATAAAAAAAAAACAATTAGATACTCCTCCATCCCATTGAAATGTTGTCATTTTCTATTTTCTTCCGTCCCAAAACAAGGTTACTATTTCCTAATTTAGTAATGGTACTACCTACCTAACATAATAAACACCTTTCCAACTTACATTATATTACACATGTCATTACTTTTATATTACACAATATTAATAGGGGCATTTTTGTCATTTTCACTACAACCCATTATAATATTTATATTAAAAAATCTACGTGCAAAAAGTAAACGGCAACCTTGCACCGGGACGGAGGGAGTACTTAATTATTGAACGAAAGTAGCATATATTGATAATCAAAATCAATTCCGAACGAAAAGATATTTTTGTATATATTTTAATTTAACTTTAATTTTATACTTACTCCGTATCATTTGTCCAATTTTTCTATTTTCGCCTGTTTCACATTATTTGTCTTTTTTTTTTTAATTTTTTAAAAAAATATAATTATAATCTTTAATCACATTTTAAAATTTCATAGTTAATAATTTTTTATTTATTTTAATTAAACTATTTAACAATCTTATAATTATTTTTATTATACTATAATTATTTTATTAATATATTTTTTTAATTATTTATTAATTACATAATACCTAAAATTTTGTGTCCTAACTAAAGTCCAAATATTACAGCTAAAGAGGAGAAATTAGCTGGCACATAGATAGTAATTTGTTATTACAGTAAAAGATATGAGTATTATTGGTGTGTTTGTTTTGTGAGATTGGTGGAAAAAAAAATTATATGAGGTATAGAGAATTGTGTAAGGAATATAAAAATAAGAAAAAAAATTATTTTTGGTCTCATTAAATATCATAATTATTAATTTTGGTCTCGTTAAAATTTTTTTATTAATTTTGGTCCCACTCAAATGAAAATTTGTCAATTTTAGCCCGACTGGGACTGAACACGGCCGTATTGGCTTGAACACGGCCGTGTTGGATGACTCAGAAGGTAACTGGGCGTCCGAGGCCGCCAACACGGCCGTGTTGGGCTCAACACGGCCGTGGTGATTACTATGCACTTCTGAACACGGTCGTGTTCTTGTCCGTGTTCTGAATATAGTTATGTTCCTGCCTATGTTCTCAACACAACCATATTTTTAGGCCATATTTACGACTTTGTTCTCAACACAACCATGTTTTAGACTATATTCACGATCATGATTTTAATATAAGTATATTGTAGGCCATGTTTATTATTATTTTTACGTCTGGATTAAAATTATTTGATATATATTTATAATTCAATAAAAAATTTTTTTATATTATTTCATAATATAAAAAATAATTAATTTTTAATATTTTTAAAATATAATTGCAAAAAAATTATAATAATGCTTCAGGTTGACAAAGGAGGATTTCATTGCTTGATCATTGGTTACCTACTCTTTTTTCTCTGGTTTCACCAAATAGAGTAGGTTGTTCAGTCAAAATATGAGCTCACTGGGTTTTTGGGGTGAGATAAATTGCTTTTGATCGTAGCTGTGCTGTCCAGGGCTGACACTTTGACCTTTCAAATAAAAGGATAATATTATATTTTTTTTTGTAATTATTTTTTTAAAATATTAAAAATTGGCTATTTTTTATATTATGAAAATAATTATAAAAAATATTTTTGTTGAATTATATATATCAAATAATTTTAATCCAGACGTGAAAATAATAATAAACATGATCTACAATATACTTATATTGAAAATATGATCGTGAACATGACCTCAAACATGGTTGTGTTGAGAACATGACAACAACATGGTTGTGTTCAGAATACGGGCAAGAAACACAACCGTGTTCAGAAGTGCATGGTAACAACACGGTCATGTTGAGCCCAACATGACAGTGTTGGTTGTTTGGGACGCTCAGTTACCTTCTGAGTCATCCAACACGATCATGTTCAAGCCAACGCGGCCGTATTCGGCCCCAGTCAACCATCTTGAGACTAAAATCTATAAATTTTCATTTGAATGAGACAAAAGTTGATAAAATTTTTTGAATAAAATCAAAATTAATAATTATGATATTAAATAAGACTAAAAATAATTTTTACTCTAAAAATAAATGTAATGTATTAATTTTTTATTTATTTATTTATTTTTTTTGATATATTTTGGAAAACCGTGGGGTAAAAAGTAATTGTAAAAACAAACCCATTCCAATTACTAGTTTCCTCTTTCCTCCGCCCACCTAGCTTGACGCCTTGCTCAGTCTTCGTCCCTTCACCTAGTCTTGCCTTGAAGATCCTTCCATTCCATTCCATTCCTTCCAGCACCATCTGCATATCCTTCTTCTCGTCTCCTACATCTCTCGCGCGCGGTTTGGCCCTCTCCTCTGACCCACTTTTCCTAAGAAATTAAGGAGAACACCCTTAGGCCTTCCTTAGATGATCTCTGCTCTGCCCATTGTGTAAACAGATCTGTGAAATTCAACAGCCACCGTGTCGATCCACGTCTTTTCCGTGCAATTTATCGCCCCCACGGCCGACGACGTCCCTCAACTGTCGGAATAACTCACTAATCTCGCCGAATTTTAAGGGAATTGGACTCCGTCGTCACTCAACAGGTTTGGCCTTCGACGGGAGACGCAATTCATTGCGATGGGCGTGTCTCCTGCTTCCGCATAGCTTCCCGATCCGAAAGGAATACCCTAGGTAAGCGTTTTGTTGTTTGTATACGAAAACAGATTTGGCATGAATTGAATTGAAGAACTCCTGTGATACTGTAGCCAAATTTTAGCTGAAGCAGCAGGTGTCGTCTATATATCTATATGTCGCCATACTTGATGCAATGTAACTTCGGTTGTACTTGTTTGTTATATTTCTATGTATATTGTTGGTAGACTATATCATACTCCAAAATCTGTGTTCATCTTTAGTAGATTGTACTAATATAAATGTCATGAATGAGTTGATAAAGTGATTTTTTTTATTATTATTTTGGCACGAGAATTTACATAAGTAGTATTAAATAGAATAATTTGAAAGAAAAATGTATATTTATTTGAGTAATGTGATCGAATAAAGTGTGGGATAATGATTAAATATATTCAATTATTTTATATTTTAGAAATATTGGAAGATGTTTAGGGCAAACCAAAAAGAAAATATTGCTGTTGGGAGTATATTAGACACAACACATATCTCCTTTTTAAAATTATCGACGACGAGGCTGTTGGTAGACTATATAATATGTAAACTAATGATGCATATTCGTTTAAGTTTTTAGATGAGATCGTCATATAACATATTTGATTAATACTTTGTTCGATTGGTTGTGGTGCTTCATGTAGTGTATGATCAAAAGCTCACTGCATCCGTAGGGGGTGGCTGGTGAATATACGACCATAAGGTCATGTGTTCAAATCGTCCCAAATTAGAAATAACAGAAATAACAGCAAGAGATTTGCGACGGGAAATGTTACATCATGGTGCACGGACTCCAAATAAGCGGGTATCTACGAGCTTGTAACACTCCTCTCCTTTCTCTCTCTATCCCTACTCCATAACTTTGTGCTTATTCCGCTATAGATGCCTAGGAAAAGGGATAACATAGCGAGGTACAGTTACCGAACGGCATGCGCTTTGACGTCCATTATGTGGCATCGATTTTGTGACGGGGAGTTAACTTCATCGTCGATTTCCCTGGAAATATGGGACCAAGTTTCTGCACAGCTGTTGGCCGAGACGGGCCAGATGTATTCGGTGAAACAGCTAAAGGGCAAGTGGAATCGACTTAAGGCCGAATGGATGGTCCTACAAGATCTATTGCAGAAAAAAACGGGGCTCGGCGTAGACCCGGAAACCGGGATGGTCGATGCGTCTACCCAGCTTTGGAAGGAATGGATCCAGGTAAAGAAACAACAAAAAAGTCTTGAGTTTCTATAGATGTTTTGGAGTTTTGGAAAATTTTGGTAGTAATAAAAAATTAAGTATTTGATGTAATATTTGGTGAGATTATAATAGTATTTTGAAAAAGTTTGAGAGTAGATAAATGAAAATGTTTTCATTTTCTCTTGTTTGTTTGAGTAAAAAAAATGGAATTTGAGGGGAGAAAAATAAAATTTGTATACCTAGTATTTTTATTTTATTTATTTATTTTACTATTTAATTTTTATAATTTTTTAAAAAATATATTATTCCGATTTTATAAAATTCATGTCAAAATTATGATTACTTTATTATTATTTCAAAATTACTAACTAAACATGGCAATATTTATTCAAAAAATTTTACTTCATTGAAATTCTCTTTTATTGATCGTTTTCTGTAATTGATTCATTTCCTTATTTTTTATTCTGTAGTATACAATCTCATTTAGATTGATTCATCCAATTTTTTGTTTTTTGTTTTTTTTTTTTTTTCTTTTGCATTTGTCAGTATAAATTCTCATTCTATGTTCAATTTATGATGTTTAGAATTCTTTTATACAATTCCATTCTCTTCACCAAACCTTGCAAAAATATTTGGATACATAGAGCCTTAAATATTACTTATACACATCCTATTTTTTTGATAATTAAGTTCGCATATGCTTTGTAGGCTTATCCAGCGTACGCACATTTGCGCACGCGGCCGTTCCCGAACTACCACCTATGCAGCAAAATGTTTGCGAGCGATACCGAAGCTAAAGAACATGCACTATCTTATATTCAACAGAGATCTCGGGAAGCCGAGCCATCGGGTGCTGATGTGCCATCTGGTCCTGATGATTCTCCTATGGGATTGGGAGTCGAGGGAGGTGGCCCGGGCACAGGTGCAGAAGCAGGCAACAATCCTCCGCCGCCTGTGACTTGGGCTCGGGGGCCTGCGACGCGGAGTGGCCGGCGCAATCGGTGGACTGTCCAGCAGGAGAGGCTGGACGAAGAGGCGTCCACTGTCCAGCCAAGCCACGAATCGATTTCACATGAGCAGAATGAACGATTTAGGGTGGAGGAAGCGAGCCTTGATCGAACGATCGAGGCTTTGGAAAGCATTCCCGACATCCCGGACGAAATGCTGTTTAGAGCGCATGATAAACTAGTTTCCCACTCTCGTAGGCGACTGTTTTTGTCGCTCTCAGCTGAGAGGCGCCGGAATTGGGTTCTTTCATTACTCGATAAGTAGTCTGGACCATCTTAGTTTATGTTTTCGCGCACATGGAACGATTTCTTTGTTTACTTTGGTTATCCTTGACCTTTTATTTTATGATGTCCTCGGCGATGTTATGATTTGGAGGCTGATTTCGTAACTGAGTTGTTTGTCGGATCTCCGATAGAATATAGAATTTGGTGTGTGATTCTTTTCTATTAGCACATTTACAAAAAGAATGCTAAGGTGATTGGTATTTGTTAACAAATCAAAGCAATGAAATAAACTAACAATTATATTATGGGGAGTGAGGAACGTCTACACTCCGAGTGTCATTTATTGACAAGTATTCTGGTGTGCAGAGGGCATCGAGTATTAACATGACATGCCATAATCACAAAGGATCTACTGCATAAAGCAACACATGAACAAATTTTAGGAAAGTCACATTGTTATCAAAGGAAAACTTTCATGAATATTAAACTAGCTCAAAAACTGTAAATCAGAACAATAGCTCAAAAGTTGTAAATCAGAGCAATACAACCTAAACAATGATCATCCAAGATCATAGATCATTAATGGTGCTTTCCAAATACCTCGTACACCAGTTATCAGTTATGAACCTCAAGAACTCACAAAATTAGGACAAATATTTACGAAAGAAGGAAGAGCGAAAGAAAGAACTAAAAGCAAAAGGTTAGTGATAAAGAGATGAGGCGAAGTGAAGGAATAATCGATACGGAGACCGATTAGGGAGCGAGAGAAGCGTGGACGAAGCGAGATGGTTCAAGTAACTATTAAAGAGTGCTCTGTGTGTGAGAGGATGTGTATGGATGTTGGTGAAGACGTCGATGGCGTGCACGGTGAGAGCCGTGTGTGAAAGTAGGGCACAACAGCGGCGGAATCAGAGTGAATGGATGATCGTGAGTGATTGCTGGTAAAATCAGCTAGGTAAATACATATATATATGTGGATATTATCCACAAGGAAAGAATAGGGTGGGCTCAGCTCAGTAACTCATACCTGGACCAAGAGTGAGGTGAATGCTAGGTCCAATTTTTAACACCCCTCCTCACTCGAAGGGCTAGCATTAGCAACCTGAAACAAATCAAAAAACCTATTAAGAGTACAAAGACGGTAAAGTGACTTATTGTCAAGACTTTTTGTGAGTAAATCAGCACGTTGCTCATTTGAGGGAGTAAAATGTGTCGAAATGATGCATTTGGAAGTGTAATCCCTTACCATGTGGCAATATACCTCAATGATAGCAGTAGTATTATCACAATACAACTCAAGAGCATGCCCATGATCAATATGTAAATCACGAAGTATGCCAAGAAGCCAAGTTACTTCCGCACAAGTTTGGGCCATGGCTCTATATTAAGCTTCAGCAGATGACCGAGACACGGTCGACTGCTTCTTGCTTTTAAAAGAGATTAAAGAGCTCCCAAGAAACACACAGAAACCAGTTATTGGCTTTCTAGAAATTGGGCAAAAAGCCTAGTCCGAGTCACAGTAAGCTTTCAAGGTCAGATTTTCATTTTTAGAAAATAGAAGTCCTTGCCCAGGACACCCTTTTAGGTACCTTAATACCTTTAGGGCTGCCCGCTTATGAGATTCCTTGGGCTTATAAATGAATTGACTCAAGACTTGAACACTAAAGGCTATATCAAGACTTGTTAGAGTTAAGTAAATCAACTTCCCAACCAATTGTTGATAACCAACAACACTTAATATTAAAGGATTAGCTTCACTAACAACATTATCAAGCATTATCAAGTTTTAGATGTTGTTCCATAGGAACTAACGATGGTTTACATCCCAACACTCGAATTTAGAAATTAATTTAAGGGTATATTTTCGCTAAGAGAAAACAGTTCCTTTATGATATTTACTAGCCTCTATTCTTAGAAAATAGTTCAAAACTCCTAAATCTTTGATTTTAAATTTTCCATTCAAAAACCTTTTGAACTCTGTGATCTTCTCAACATTATTTTCAGTAACAAGGATATCATCAACATAAACTAGAGCAATGATAATCATATCAGCTTCAGCTTTAACAAACAAAGAATAATCATGGAGAGACTGTTTGAAGCCAAATTCAATCATTGCAGATTTTAATTTCTCATTCCACTGCCTGGGGCTTGTTTCAAACTATACAAAGACTTTTGCAAAAGACAGTGTTTGTTTTGGAACATTTCTGAATACCCCTCAGGCGGCGTCATATAAACTGTTTCATGGACATTACCGTGTAAGAAAACATTGTTCACATCTAATTGAAAATTTTCCCAACCATAGCTAATAGCAACAGAAAGAACACACCCAATAGTGGGCATTTTAACATTTTGCAACAAGTCTAGCTTTATACCTCTTAACTGTTCATTGAAATTGTATTTTATTTTAAACACCCATTTACACCCAATAGGTTTTCTATCCTTAGAAAAAATACAGAGTATCTAGGTTTTTTTGTTAGTGAGGGCTTTCATCTCAAAATCCATAGCTTCTTTCGACTTAGGATCGAGGATAGCTTTTTTAACACTTTGAGGTTCAACTGACTTATCTAAATTAGTTGGTAGGCACAGGCTGTCATTATATAGATCAGCTAGATGATGACACACTATACTAATGGTGCTTTCCAAATACCTAGTACACCAGTTATCAGTTGTGAACCTCAAGAACTCACAAAATCAGGACAAGTATTTGCGAAATAGGAAAAAGCGAAAGAAAGAACTAAAAGGAAAAGGTTAGTGATAAAGAGATGAGGCGGAGTGAAGGAATCATCGATACGGAGACCAATTAGGGAGCAAGAGAAGCATGGGCGAAGCAAGATGGTTCAAGTAACCATTAAAGAGTGTTTTGTGTGTAAGATGATGTGTATGGATGTTGGTGAAGGCGTCGATGGCGTGCACGGTGCGAGCAGTGTGTGAAAGTAGAGCACAGTGGCGACAGAATCAGAGTGAATGGATGATTGTGAATGATTGCTGGTAAAATCAGCTAGGTAAATACATATATATATATATGTGTGGACATTATCCACTAGGAAAGAATAGGGTAGGCTCAGTCCAGTAACTCATACTTGGACCAAAAGTGAAGTGAAGGCTATGCCCAATTTTAACAGTATTCGGAGTGACATGAAAGCGAGTTTGAGAATTGATATTTTGAAGATTTTTGCAATGAGTATGAGATTTCACATGAGGTTTTTGGAGAACAATAGAATGTTGATGATGACGAATGACAGTGGCGAGATCCGTATATAGATAGAAGTCATAATTCTGATATCATATTAATAGATTGTCAAGGTTAAGCTTAAAGAAATATATAAATTGGGTTTACTTATGATCGAATACACACTATACATCGTATGAATATTGCCGTGGAAAGAAGTCAAGAGTGCAATAGTACTTCTACATTTTTGGATGCAAATGTCATATCTTAAGGGATAAAAATTCGTTAGAACAAGATTGATTTCAAGTCGGATGAAGAAATATTTATTGGTTAACCAATAGTTAAGCTTATCATGTATTTAAGGACAAAAAAATTATAGTAGGAGATTTGAAGATGGAGTTGAATCTAATGCATTGACGAGGAGGTCATATCTTAACAAAAAATCAAAATTCCACCAAAAATATTCTTGATTATGAGATTGTTCTAAAGAAGAAGGAACAAAAGTCCAAAAAAAGTGTTGATAAAATAATTGAATTCGGAAAATATTTCAGAATTGGTAAATACTATTCAATTGATGATAGTATTGGAGATTCCAAAGGAGACGAGTTACAAAAGAGGTATATAAATTGACCTATGACACATGTTGTTCTTAATTATTTTATATCTAATATTGAGCCAAATAATATTGAAGATGCTCTTAGTGATGAGTTATGAATTGTCGTAATGCAAGATAAGTTGCTTTAATTCATATGAAATATGGTTTGGAATTGGTTGAACTACCATCAAACATCAATATTATTGGAACAAAGTGGATATTCTGAAATAAAATTGATGTTAAGAGGAATATTATCATAAATAAGGCGGGATTAATAGAACAAGGATACACTCAATTTGAAGGTTTGGATTATGATGAGACCTTTATGTTTGTTGTTCGAATTGAGGTGGTTCGATTGCTACTCTTTGTTTCTTATACCTTTGAATTTACCTTGTATTAAATAGACGTGAAGACGGCCTTTATGAATGGAGGGTTGAAAGAGGAGATATATGATGCTCAATCGAAGGGGTTCGAAGATCCAACACATCCGAAATATGTGCACAAATTGTACAAGATGCTTTATGGATTGATGTAAGCACCTAGGGCATGGTATGATAGCCTTTATTTTTCTATCCTTTTGATAAGAATTACATTCAAAGGTGATAAAGACTTTATTTACTCGAGAGGGAATGTTATGATTGCCTAAGTGTACGTGGATGACATTGTCTTCGAATCAATATCTAATTTCTAAAAGATGAATTTGTTGCTTTGATGTCTAAAAAGTTTGAATTGCCCGTGATTGGAATGTGAATTACTTTATGAGTCAAAGTATGTATGCTAGAATATTGTGAAAAAATTTAGTCAGGACATGATTGCAGTGTTATCCGGAAATTTTTGGTACAACATAAAAAAATATCGAATGATGCATCTGGAAAAATAGTTGATCAAAAGATATATCGAAGATTTATTGGTAGTCTATTATATCTTACAACTAATAGTCTTGGAATTTCTTTTAGTATTGATGTATGTACAAGATTTCAAGCCAGTTCAAAGGAATCTCGTTTGGAAGTCATCAAAAGAATTCTATGAATGTTAAGGCCACTTCTGAATATGTTTTATGGTATTCATGACATTTATCATTCACATTAGTTAAATATATTGATTCCTATTGAGAAGACTATTGCAATGATAATAAAAGCACTTCAGAATGATATTCTTATCTGGGAAACAATTTTATAAGCTGGTTTTTAGGAAAAAAAAATTGGAGGATTATGGCGTTATCTGTTTTGATTTATTTATTTATTTGACAAATCCAATAAATCAATATTTCAAAAACTCCAGACCAACATAGTTCAACAAAGTATAGTGATATATGGTACCGTTTTATATGAAAATTATTAAATAATGGTACTAATCTATGTTATATTCAAATCAAGGTCCAACATGCCAACATTCTGACCAAGACATTAACATTGACCATTTCAAAACTCTCAGGTGTGATTTGGGTCTTTGCACTCATCACAACTAAAAGGTCTATTCTACCGTAAATTTGTAGTAGTTTATTTTATACATTCATTACGTAAATTGATATTTGATTGGGAAAATGTGAAGAAAATAATAAATGAAGGATATATGTAAGAGAACTTATTCTAGACATATAACATTTGCCTATGAAGGAACATTTCTCAAATTTGCTTAAATACTGATTTGTTTCCTTTGTGTTGTTGAAATTTTGATTAGATGATAAATGACATTATATACTTCAAGTGGTGCATAAATACACCAATACTCTCATATTCTACATAGTGAAATATACTAGAACTAGGAGGTAAAGAGATTGTGAGATTATTATGGATGAATTGTATTCTTATCTTTAAATAATAAATTTATTTTTTCCATCTCACATAATTTGATCTTATTTTCCTTTTTGGATTGTCCCAGATAATATGCCCATTCTATTTTTTTTGGACACTGATTAATTATATTTATATCTACTAATTATAAAATTAAAAATTCTAATTATACTAATTTACCCCCCACCTACACACCCACCCCACCACAAATTACACACATTATCTCATTCTCTTACCTATACACCCCAATCTCATTTTTCTCTTTATAAATCTTCTTCTCATTTCTTTGATCCGTTGAACCCGCCAGAGTCCGTCGCCCTCTCTTGCGGAATCAGTATCAATTTATGCCGAATTGCCCCCCTCCGCCATGGATCGGGCCGTCGGAGTCCATTGCTCTCTCACTGCCGCTCCTCATCGCCCTCTCCGCCGTACCCTATCGTTCTTTTTCCGCCATCCTTCTCAAATCTTAAATGTGAGTCATATGGTCTTTGCCGCAACTGTACCTTTTATTTTATCGTGTTTCATTCTTTTGACCATGAATTTGTCCAAAAAAAGGCCGTCAGAGGGAGATCGATTCACCCTTGTTGGTCGAAGTTCAAGCCGCCTCCGATCTGTACCACAACTCCGGGTATGAGCTGGCAGTGAGTGATGGTGACAGACATTGGGTGCCAGACATGGAGGAACCATTTGACTTGGACTTGGATGTTGATTTCTTCGGTGGACTTCACGGACGGAGGCCAACAACACCTCGACGTCCATTTTTCCAACCATAGAAGAACGCTGGGGATGAAGGTGGTCCTCCGATGTCACCGAAAAATAGAGATATTTGGGGGAAGTTGGGCTATGTTCCTGATTTGGAGGACGAGCATGATAAAAATTACATCCCCACCCCTTCCCGATTCACATTACCATCGCATTCAAGTCCTCCATAAGGAAGTTGGTGAGATCCTTCCTAAAACTTAAACTAGTTGAACTTATATGTGGGTTATCTATTGTCTGTGGGTTACAAATATTAGTAGACATGCAATTCATGACTTCATTAAGTGTTTTAAGCATGAATTAGTTTTTTTATGCCCTGCTAATAGTGTTTTTTAATTCAAAATTATTCTTGTTAATACAATCATGCCAGCGATGTTCACTACTTTGTTTTCCAAATTACGCCGTGGCTATTTTGTGTTTTATGTATTCTGTTTGGGCATAATTTTGTTGCTATTTTCTAACATCTATTCGTAGAAAATAATTTCCACATACAAACTAAATTTGTTAAGTACTAAATTGAGGTAAATTAGAGAAACATACATTTTATTCATTGCATTTCATTAAATGCTAAACACTTTTGATATTTACAGCTGTATTAATGAATCATTTTCAGACAAAAAATATCAAAATATTTTCATTTAAGCCACCCAATATGTTTACACTGTAAGCCGGAACATTTTTTTATAAGCTTACTAAAAACACAAATATTTACAAAAAATATGTTTAAATCATATTCCTATCTCTAATATCCTAAATCAACAATTACATTTTCAATCCCATTCATATATCCTTTTTCCATAAGATATTGAATGCATTCGTGAATCAGCTCTAGTGGAACAGTGAGCTGTGTTAGCAGATTTCTGTTTTCTAACTAAACTATCTTTTTTAAATGTGGTCTTTTGTACAAATTATCTTATTTTATCTTCATTACTTCAATCAAACAATTTTGTAAACCTAAAAATACCTTATTCAACGTTCTGGTGTTAATGCGTTAAAACTTGTTAGAACTGTTTCAACAAACTCTTCCACATTCTTGCATGCCTTTTTTGTTTGTAAACTTTGAATCACTCAAAATCATCCTTAGTCGTTGACATTCATATATGGAGAATTAGGTAGTTGTTGATTGAGAACAATATGAAAACCATATCTAGTTGCTGCATTTATGAATTCGGCATCACCCCCCTTAATGTGTGGCTTCGCAATTTCTTGCTAGATGAAAATATGTTTAAATTTATGATGTCACTTTTATTTGATTTCTAGGATAATTCGCAAAAGAATAAAACCGGGATTAATTAGATCTTTGAGCTGTAAATGTCTATAGAATGAGATGCGACAGTAATGACAAGAAAATGTTAGGTCTTCTACTCTAATTAAGATAGTAGAAGACTTCCATAGTTAGTTTTCTTACTTTTAATGATGTTGAAAACTAAATTTTTTTTTAACCTGATTAATCAAATCGTTTCTTATAACTTCTTTTGTTACGGATTGTATTAGTTCTGTTTCTAATGTGTCAGTCACACGATTTTTGCTTGACTGCATTGCTGGAACTTTTTCAGTAAATGGGGAAATTGAGATTTTTCCATCAAACAAAAGAGTTCCATCCTTGTCCCATATTGGTCGCGAAACAACACACATAAACGTAATCTTACAATAAATTTTTTACTTTTGCATGTTTTGTGTGGTTAATTTTCTATTGTGGTAAAATAAAATCGATGGCTAGCCTTGGACATATAAAACCATTTTTCATTGATATGAACTATGTTTTCCATACTTTGTAATTGTGCATTTTCAATGCATCGAAAACAATCTGGAGCTTGTAAGGGAAAAACATAACCTTGGAAATTTACTAGCATGTATAAGTTTTGGCTTAATCGTACTTGTATGAGCTCAAATTTGCTTTTCTATAACCCATCTATGCACCGTTGACTTTGAGCATTGTATTCCATTTGCTAGGGTTCTGATTGAGGATATCTACAGCACAGACAACCTCTCGATTGCCGTAAAATCGGGTATGATCTTGTTTTTTCTGACAATATTTTTTTCCTATACGAAAAAAATATCCTTTCTCTTATAAAAATATACGAAATAGATCTAAAGTTTTATTAACAAAATCGAGTTAAAATAGAAATATTAGACTTGTTTTGGTTAGGCTAAGGCCCTAACCACTTAAAACAGTAAATCGACACACAATCAGACAATCACAGCAAGAAATTAGGCAATCAAAGAAAATATATAACCTAACTATTACAACATACACTCGTGACTATTCAACCGAGGTACTCGAGAACCACTCACAAAGTGAAGATCGAAGTTTTAGTAACTTTGGTTTCACAATAGCCTTTACAAAATTATTTTTGGGCGCAAAAATTAAATGCATAAATTAAAACAGACACAAAGTAGTAAAAATGTGAGTTCAGGGGTTACCCTCGTAGCACAACAACAAAAATTTATATTCCTACAAAACAGTAGGAAATAGACAAACAAAAGACCTATTCTCTTTTGTAGAAAATAAGGGTTAGCCAAAACTAAAATTCACAAAAAACAGAAACCAAACACAAAATTTGTTTCTCTTCTAACAAATTGTTAGAATCCCCAAAACAGATCGAATATAACACACTACCGACCAAAAAGGAACACTAACAAACAAGACTTAAAGATTTGAAGATTTCAAACGAGATTTTAGTCTGAAACATATAAAGATCTTCAAAAAATATTTACCAACTTTTAAGATTTACAAAACCTTTTAGATTTTGACTCCCAGTGAACAAAATCTATACAAAACAGAGGCACTTTACCCTATTTACACCTTTTATTTAAAGGAGGTTTGAAATACAAAACCCGTTTATTAAAAGTAAAACGGTTTTGTAACAAACTAACCAAATTTAGACTCAAACTTAACCAAACTACATAAATCTGTAGCGATTAAGTCATGTTTCAACACAAATCGCACATAACCGAGGCTAAAAAGCACGGATCGAGTGAGATTTTGGCCGGTATCCAACAAATCTACTAGGAAAAGAATCGAAACACCAAAAAAAGTTCGATTCAACCAGATCCTTTCGTAGATCTAAAGACTTACAGCAAAAAAACCTCAAAACTGAAAATATTACTCGATTTCGAAAACGAAAAAACACCAAATAGCTCTGATACCACTTGTAATAGAAATGTACGAACAAGATCTAAAGTTTTATTAAAACAGAAATACTAGACTTGTTTTGGTTAGGTTCAGCCCCTAACCACTCAAAACAGTAAATCGACACACAAAATCCACCTAATTAACGACTACACACTTTTAACCGGCCCAAAACTAACACGACTCACACAAAATGAACCCCCTCAAGAACATACAAGGCGAAACAAACAAAAATAAAAACGCCTAAAGGTTGAACGAGCCCTTTGCGGCTACGAACAAAAAAACAGATGGTGAAACACCGCGCCACAAGAGCTCCACAAGTTACAGGAGGAAGGCGCCGCTAGAAACTGCCGTGAACTGCCGGAAACAGTCACCGGAAAAGGTAAACATAGAGGTTGAGAGAGAGAGGCTAGAGAGTGGAAAAGTTAGAGCGAGAGAGTGTGAGGGAGAGATGAGAGAGCTGCACCCTCTCTCTCTATGTATATATACTCAAGGTAAGTAGGGACGAACGGCCAGGATCAAGATCCATAATGGACGGCCAGGATTGCGTCTAGCAAAAGACGCGGATCCTAAGCGGGTCACAGGCACGGGTCGCGGGCACTGATTCAGGTAAGGGTGTGAGTAAGCGGGTGCGGGTCTGGCGGATCACGGGTTGGCGGGTGCGGGTCGCGGTCAGGACCAAGGTTTAAAGCGGGCTGCATAATTAAGTGTGTGTCTTATACTGGGGTGGATCTAATTGGATCAAAAATTCCAACACTTGCCTTTAGCTTTCTTCTCTTCGACTGATTTCCAATGCCTTGAAACAATTTTCTAACTGCAATTAAATTTTTTTGCAGTTTCAAAAAAGACTCCACACCTTGGCTGACCCGAGGCATCACATCTAGCAGAAATAAATGCCACGAGTTTAATGTGATCTTCCTTTGTAAGTGAGGTTTAGACATTTTGATTCATGTAATCTATTCGGGTGAAGTTTTAGGAGAGGGTAAATTAAAATATATTTTTTTAATGATTTATCTATAGGTGTTGATTAGGAGGGAATATTTTTAGGTGTAAAATTAATTGGGGGAATTTTTTTTATCATGCGTTAATGTTGATAGTGATATTTTGATAAAAATGAGAATTGCTTTTTAGGTGTAATTTTATTTGAGATGGAATGATTTTAGGTTGTGTTTTGGTGGGATAATGATGTGTAATGTTACACATTTTGTGGCTTGTGTTAATTTTGGAGAATTATTTTTAGGTATATAATAGTGAGAAAATTATGTGTCATTTTTGCTGTAATAAACTCCCACGTGAAATGATGTAATTCTACAGCTTTTCAGACCAATTCTTTGACTCATGGCAGTTCTTTTTTTACCATTTTTTTTCCTTAATTATTCTAACACTACCATTAAACATATCCCTATATTTACTAATTATATCCTGACCTACATTCTTGAGTATTTTTAGAGAAATTTCTTGAGAGGAAACCCATGTATATTGAGTGTAGGAAATTAGGAGAGATTTCTCTTATTTCATTTGGTTGAATAACTGTTAGTTGGTGCTTGAGTTTCAGAAGTTATGGATGATATTCGAAGAAAACCCAGTTTGCCCGATGGATGAATGATGGTGAATCTTGAAGGATTTGGCGAGGCTTTCCACATTTGAAGAAAATTCATCTCGAATTAACAACAAAAAACAATGCACAAATTATAGAGGTTGACGCTTGCAATTTAGCCTTTAAAAATGTTGTACTTGTATTTGGTAAGAGAGACAATAGTATTTTACTTGTCAGTATTTGTTTGATTGCGATTTGAAATGAAGTATTAATTGAATTTTTATTTAAATATTATTTTAATATAATATTTTTTTTAGATTGTGTTCTTTAGTGAATTTTATCCAAATTTTATTATTTTTTTATATTTTATTATAAAATTATTGTACATTCAAAATATTACATTTAAGCGTCTATTCAAAAACTTTTTTACTATTAAAAATCCAAACCTACAAACAAACACACCCTTATATTTTAATTAGAAACTATGAAGAATGAATAGCGAGTGATATTTGAAACTCAAATGACAACCAAATACAAGTGTCTGGAGTTTATTTATATTTTCTTGTAGTTTGCTCTTGCCTATTTCCCAGTAGAATGATTTACCTCGCCTGGCCTCCCCTCTCCGCCAATGTAGGCCTTATTGTGGACTGAACTAAGTATATATATAAATCTTGTGTTTGAATTTCTTCACAATTCTAAGTGTTTATACTATTGTGCACATTTTATCCAAACGATTCAGACATGTATGAACACTAACAAACTCATGGTGTTTCTTTTGTTTATTCCACTTATTACTTTTTAGATTTAGAGTCGGGTTGTTTTTGTCCTCAACTTGCATAGTTTGGGACAGACAATATAATGACAAAAAAATAAATATATGATATAATATTTTTTTAAAGTATTAATGTAGATGAAAAATACCACAAAAGTGACTTTTAATATGGGTAGACAGAGGGATCTACTATAAATTTTTCAAGAATCTAAAATAAATTGCTAATTGTTTGTCGAGATAATCATTTAATTTGTTGTTGCAACAAGAAATACCATATAAAAATCTACTTTCATATGATAAAGCCCTAGACATCATTCAAGAGCTTGCATCCCCCGAAGAAAGATGGCCTTGCTCGATCAATGATTTGACGCAATCATCAAACATCTCTTCGAGTGATCGGAATTTCATTCCCAAGGCCTTTAGCTTGAAGACATTCAGATCATAGAATGGTCTTTCGAGGTTTTCGAACCTGAAACATTCATGCATCCTTGTATCAAAGGCAACCTTGGCATTTAATAAGAAATTTTTGGTTATATATAAATTAAACTTTTGAGAAACCAAAGAAGTTGTGAACAAAACAAACATACATGCTTAACCTATTTGTCTAAACTTAAGTGATATCCCCTACGAAGGTTCTTTGCCATTAATTTAATTCCACATCTAGTGAACACACACAAGTGTTCTTGGTCAATTTATTTTTAAAATTTTATAGGAATCTATGTTTTTAAAAGAAATGCCAATTTCATGACCAAAATAAATTTCAAGACGAATTATGATGGAATAATTTTGATATATTATTTTTTCAAGGATCGACCTTTTTGGAATGGGTAAATTAGGATAGCGAGCTGCTAATATTGCGGTGAGCTCATCATTGTCGACGACAGTTGAGCTGCAAAGATATCGACCTTTCGCGCTTTCATTCTCGTATAAAAGAATGTGTGTATATGCAACATCATCGATGTGAATGTATCCCATTCTTCCATGCCACTTAAATTTCTCGGTTTCACCTGATGTTTTTTTTAGCGGTTAAGACAAGAAGAAGCATGCATATATAAAAACACATTCGAAGAAAATTGAATGTCAAAAAAAAAATCATTTTTCATTTTCTCATAATGTAATAAATTCAAATAGCTATCATATCGTAATTTAATTAAGGTTGGTACAAAATACATCATAAGCTTTAGCTTTTTTATTTTTATTTTATCCTGGTAATCATTTGCAATAATATTTTAAGTGTTGTTTGACTCCCATTTGTAAATTAATAAATAATATGTATCCCTAATAGTTTGTGATTTTAGATAAATCGGTTATTAATATCATTTACCATGATACCAGAGCTTTAGATGAATCTTTCTTAATGACAACCAAAAAGTTGACTTGTTATTAGCGTTGAGTTCTAAATTGTGCAATTAAATTCAATATTCATTATATTACAAAACTAAAATATAAAAGCAAAACACTTTTTCTCGAGGATAGTTTCATGGCAAGAAATGTTAATGCACCTTTAAGCAGACCGAGAACATCGGATGCAGTCGAGCATAAAATAGGCGGCAAACTTGGCCCGATGACAAATGAAGGAAGAACAGTCACCAGATCGATGTTATTGTCCTCACAGAATTCCCACGCCGCCTTTTCAGCTAGAGTTTTCGATAATACGTACCATATCTAACATCAAAATAATCACTCACACATAAGACAACACTTAATCAAAAAAAAAAAAAAAAGTCCCTAAAGAAAATTTGTTTCATTACAAGCTATGTAATAATCACATACCTTGAGTGTCTCACACAGCTCCTCTGAACTCCAAGAAGATTCATCCAACTCTGCATTAGATGCAAGATCATGTCTTACCCTAACCGTCGACGAAGATGAGGTGAAAACCACACGCCTTAGCGAAGGATTCTTCTTGCAAGAACGCAGCACGTTGAGTGTGCCATCTATAGCCGGTTGTAATATTTCCGCCTAAAAATACATAATAAATCAAAATATAAGTAAATAGAACCAAGACTCCAAATATATCCCTCTCAAAATACATGCTTCTCAAATAAGGACTCTTGTTAAAAATAATCGTGTAAACCTTTATGTACTTTTAAAGTTTCGATTTAAGTTTGTATTTTAAAAATAATATAAAATTGAATTGATGGTTTTGATGGAAAAAAATTGATAAATAATAGTTTATCAGAATCTGATCTTAAAAGAAACCTAAACCCCAAACTCATCAAATCCAAATCTTAAAATAAACACACACATTTTAGGCTTGTTCACTAAACAATTTTTTCTTGATACTATTGTCAATGAATATTAATAAAAAAATACAATATATACGCATATCATAAATAATATGTATACTCTATTACTTCACAAAAATTAATATTCATCACAAAATATTATTTTTATATTATCGATATAATTTTTTATACCTCACATAAAAAAATACTTCAAACTAAAAGACTAAGCAAACACACTGTACCCTTTGTTTTTGTTATTCTTTTTAGATAAAAAATAAAAATTCCAAATTTGGAGAAACCTAACCCTAAAATGAAATGAGAGTGAGAAAATGGTGGAGAAAGAGTAAGTAAAGGGTGTAAGAACATGCCCTAGGATCACAATTAGGGTGTCCTAAAACAGGTGAAGCAGTGTGGAAAACTCCTTGACAACCCATAATTGCTGCATCAAAACTGCCCTCCTTCATCAAGTCTGCCCTCATTAGTTGAAGCCTTTCTCTGGCTCCCTCCAGCCTCCATAGATGTCCCACTTTCCTCTCATCACCTGCAACTGCAAATCAGTCAATACATACACATACAAACATACATGCTCTCTTTCATATATACAATTAAACAAATTAATTAATTTTATAACATATGTTTAATCTATTGATCGACCTGGATCTCGGACAGTGCCGATGACATGGTAGCCGCATAAAAGAAGGCGCTTGACTAGCCACGACGCGAGAAAGCCAGCTGCACCAGTCACACATACTTTGCCTTTCAGCTTCAACTCTCTATCCATTCTTTGCAATTTTAATTTGTACACACAAATACTCCAAACATATGCATGCCCTCTCTCTATATATAGGGTGTGAGATTCATATAGTTGAGAATGATAATCGAATTATTATCTTTAAGATATTATTTATTATCAAAGGTAATTTCATATAAGTATTATATTTATAAAATTGTGCTCACTTTCTTTGTAAAATACAAATTCAAAAGAAGTGACCACACTTTTGTAGGACAGGAGGAGTAATTAGTTAAATTTTTTATTCTTTTTGTTTTTCAAGAAACGCCTTTCAATTTGGCTTATTAAGAAATTTGAGATTTATTTGGTTCATATTCGAAAAGTAGAGCCCTCTATTCCCATATTATAAAATATATATATATATATATACAAATAGTATATAGTAAAAATTACAAAAAATATCTTTCACATATATTTAATTATCACTTGTGTTTTTCTCTGATTTTGTTAGCAAAATATATCATATATGTTTACAAAAATATCATTTATGTTCTTTGGTCGCACGTGATGGTCACACAACCGCTATCCCACATGCGGCCAAAGGACAAAAATAACGACTTTATAGGATATATTTTATCAATGAGATAAATAAAAGATAAAAATGATAATTGAATATACCGATAATATTTTTTTGTAATTTTTCCATAGTATACATGATACATGTATTTTAATATAAATACATAAAATAGTTTTCTTTGACTACTTAATAATTAAAAAAAAAAAAATAGTTTCACTTCAATCTCGATATAACCAATATTTTTACCTGAGAAAAAATGCAAAATCAAAGTTGTGTGCTAATTTGTGTTTTTATTTGCAGTTTATATCTTCTTCTTTTTTATTATTATATCTTTATTTTCGTGTTTAGTTGTCTAATAATAATTATCACAATAAAAAATATGGGGTGTGTTTACTTGTACGATTTTTGTTTTAGTTTTACTATTCCAAATTTTTTTTCCTTACAAAAATATCACATTAAATATCTATTTTTTATTTATTATATTACACTAATATTTAATTTGACATTCAAATTATCACATCGATACATATTTATATCACACTAAACAACTATTTCAATTCAAAATATTTATTATGCAAAACCAAAATCCCACAAATAATATATATAAGTATTTGTTTAATTGAATAGTATTAGTTAAAAATTAAAATAAAAATAATTTTTCTAAGGCAATCCAAACTATTTACCAAAAAAAAAAATATTTCCAAAGAAAATTAAAATTAAAATTTAAACACATTCTTGAAGCCAATCCAAAGTGTTTATGGAGAAGGTAAGTCATGTAATGCATGCAATTTGAACATTATTATTATTATTATTAGTTATTAGGTAAAAGATTAGATGGTGATTCGTTGAAGATGATGCAATGTGTGAGTTTTTAAGCAGAAGGCTGGGCTGATTCAATTATCTATTAATTATATATACGAACCAATAATGTCTCTAAATTCCGAGTAATTAAGTTGCAATAGTACATTTGAGTTAAAGGTATTTCAAATGGTTCTATCAAATTCAATAATTTTATTTGTCAATGTGATTGATTATAAATTTCTAAATTTAGTTATAAATTTCGAATTTATCTTCTTTAATATTATATATGTACTCTGTATTATTTATTTCAAATATTAATAGATTTTAATTATGAAAAAAATTTAAATATGAAGTTTCTCAAATATATTTATTTAAAATTGAGTGTCAAATCCATATATATCCAATCAAACAAGATTGTATAGGTTAGTTTAATTAATTAATTATATTTTAGTATTGATATTTAATCCAAATATCTGTTATGTACGAAATTTATAGTTAGGGTAAAAGGCCCAAAATAGGAGGATATGTGGGCCCGTCGTTAGGCCCACCAGTTGGTTAAACGGTTCTCAAGGGAGTCGGTTAGTCTGCGGTCCGTCTAAGGAGCCTGGGGTTATTGCTGGGCGGTTGAATAGTTGTTCGGGACCAGTCGTCCATTTAAGGAGGTAAAGTGGCCAGAGGCAGTCAGTCGAGCCAGTTAAGTCCTGTAATCGGTAGGGGCGGTTGGCGAGATGGTTAATACACATGTCAGTGGAGGGGGAATTGGTGGGCGGTTGATAGCGGTTGCTGTAACCGACCAGACGACGATTCAAAACGTTTCTTTAAGGAATATTTAAGGATTTGGGTTGGCAACTGGGAAAGAATCTTCAATCATCTTCAATCGACATCAAATTCAGTGAATTTCTTTTGGAGATCACCATTTTACTTTTACAGTCTGTAGTATTTATTTTTCTTATTTTACTTATATATCGTACGGTGTCTAGGGATTCTTAATCTCAAACATTTTTTTTTATCAAATTCAAAGATAATTTCTATTTTTGGATTTTATTTTTTATTGTTGAAAATCGGCATCAACAATTTGGCGACCACAGTGGGAGGAAAACGAAGATAGCTAATCCTACTTTCAATAACGACTTCATACGTTTACATTTTGGGCGAATTATCAGTAGAAATACAATGGCAGACACACAATCTCAGAACAACACCACCGGTGTCGGAGTTTCTACAAAGACATCAAATCCAACCACAGTTGTTCCTACTACAAGAGGGACATCCCAAGTGCAACCTGAATGGTTGACTTATGTTCAGCAATTGAACAATCAACAGATGACTACCATACAAACGATGTTGCATGATCAACAGAATCTAATACAAAACATGTTGGATCAGGCGTTGTCCAAAGTCACACTACATTCAAGTACGCCTCTAGCCTTGTCACCTTCTCGCTTTCATGCAACTTTTCCAGGATCAACGTTTGCAAGGCCTTCATACGTTGATAGTACACTTCCAAGCGCCACAACTTTCAACCGAACAGATAGGGGAAAGACTCCTCTAACTTTTCCAAATGTTCCTTTGGGACCAAGAGTTGATAATACTCAGCCGAATATCGTAAGGGAAGACAGACAAGGGGGACATATACATGATCCCATTCATATCCCTGATCATCAACAACCTGGTTTAGATCCTGAAGAAATTGCGCATGTTTTAAGGGTTCATTTTGGCTTGAATCCTCATGTGGCTAACCGCTCTGCCTATCATAGACCTTTTCCAAAAAGGATCATTAACGATTATCCGCTCCCAAGGAATTATCGACCACCCGACTATCATGCTTTCTCAGGAGAAGATGGATCCTCCACCATAGAGCATGTGGGTCGGTTTACAGCGCAGTTAGGAGAAGTCGGTAATAACCCTTTTTAGAAATTGTAACTTTTTGGTTTGTCTCTTACCAGGACAGCTTTTTTGTGGTTTGTCAACTTACCACCTGGACAAATACAAACCTGGGAAGGTTTAGAGATAGCATTTCATGCTAGATTTTTCAACCCTTTACCAACCATCTCTCTTACCGATTTGTTGGAAATAAAACAATGTCCAGAGGAGTCAGCCTTGCAGTTCATCGAAAGGGTACGATTGATGAAAGGACGATGTCCTACAGTAATCAATGAAAAAGAGATGACCAATTTAGTGGTACGCAATATGCATGTTCGCCTGAGAGAGGCACTCACTGTACATGACGTAGAAGATTTGGCAAGTTTGGCATCCAAGGCTGGACGTTTAGAATATCTCTTCAGAGAAAAAGATCAAAATTTTAGGCGTAATAAAGTCCAACATATGGCTAGTATGGAAACGGGAACATATAGCCCTGATTTTGATCAAACAGAAGAAATGGCAGCCGAAATCATCTCTGGAAAGCCTTATGTGTGCTCCAAATTAAAGCCATTACCAGGAACTGAAGGAAGAGACCAACCCACATTCAACAGTTCAAAAGCTGACGAAATCTTTGATATTTTGTTGACAGATGGTCAGATCCAAATTCCAAAAGGGCAAAGATTGGCTACTAAAGAAGAAATCAAAGGAAGACCATATTGTAAGTGGCATAATTCCTTCACACACAATACAAGCCAATGCACACACTTCCGAAAGAAGATTCAAAAGGCTATCAAGGCAGGACGGCTCAAATATATTACTCTAGGTGTAGAACAACAACCTTTTCCAAAAGTAACCACAACAATTGTTGACATACGAGCAAGTCCCGGGTCAAGAAAAACAGATCAGTCAAACAATTGCCAACAAAAAGAAAGATTCAAGATTTATGAAAAGCCAGTGGCAGCAAAATGGGATAACCAAGACGGTTCTTTTGAGGTGGAGCTAAAGGAAAAAGTACTGGTCCGAGACCATCCGACTAGAAGGACCGGCCTAGTCGGAGGCAATTGGGTTTGGAATAAAAAACCTCTACCAGTTGATATTGACCCTCGATTTCCAGGTATGAATCGTATCCAAATTCATAATGCTAAACGTAGGTACGCTGCAAGGTACAGGAAAGGAATCCCTTCAACAAAACAGCCAAACGACTTCCAAGTCACTTCTGATGATCCGACAAGAGGTCGGTCTATACAGAAGAGGGGTAAGGAAGCATAAGACCAAAAATTTGAAGGTTTCAAATGTCAGTATTGTAAACAGATCAACATCAATCCATCCCTTGAAAAATTTCGTTTAGAATCACTGACAGCCGAACCCAGAAGCGAAGCAAGAGAAGAATTTTGTTCAACATAAGGAGATTCAAGATCTGTCAAATCTCGGCTAGGTCCACGAGTCCCATGCCGAATGATAGAAGTTTATTGGATTGAAGAAGAGCCTTTATGGGCAAGTCTGGTGGATAATTCTATAGAAGAATCAAAATGGGAAAAATTTTCAGATCCTAATTTTCAGTCAGAGGTTCCTCCGATAGTTTTCCCTCCTATCCCAGAAGGTACAACATCCCATTTGAAGCCTCTGTATGTTAATGCACATATATACGGGGAATCGATTACAAAGGTTTTCATAGACAACGGAGCCGTTTTCAATGTTATGTCGTTGAAGACCCTCAAGAAGTTAGGGAAAGGAATTCACGATTTGTCTCAAGTGGATTTCGAGATGACTAGTTTTACAGGGCAACCGACCAAACCAGAAGGTATGATGG